GTAAAATGACTAATTTTCACTGGGTTTAAATTTCACTGATTTCAGGCATATTCAGTGGGTTTTAAATTCACGGTTTTATTTTTTTAGATAATGTGTTCTGTGTTAAATTTTACATATTCACTGGGTTTTAATTTAGCGCATTTTAAAACCCAGTGAATAATTAATCATTTTACAGTATACATGTATGAGAATTATTATCATACATGTAGATATCAAGAAAGATAACACCACCATCCAAGATAGATACTGTACATGAATTTGAAGATTATTTTTAAGCGTTGTATTTGAAGGTTTTAGAGAATTATGTTTAAAAATGATTATGAAGTGTCGAATTTGAAGATTATTGTAAAGCGTCATATTTGAAGATTATTATAAAGCGCCATATTTGAAGATTATTTCGAAGCATCATACTGCAGAATACTTTATTTTCGCTTGGAATTAATCTTCGCTATGGTGTTTTAATCTTCAGTGCGTCTTGATAAGAGAAATGTAAGCAACGCAATCAATATGGCTCCTGGGTAAATCTGTAAACTGCAAAAATCCTAGCAACAAGCTAGTTTTGAAACGATGATATTACAATTCATAGATGCAAATGCTGTTGCTATAGAGACCACAAGTTGGTCATATATCAAGCTGACCATAATATGTGGTCCAACCTCAAGAAAGATAATGTATCCATAAATGAGACAAACTATTCAATTCAGAGTGCAATTTTGAGTAATATATTGGTTCTATTTGCAGCACATAGCAAATGGAAACACATATAGAACAAAAATTGCTTTTGTTATTATATCATTAAACAAGCTTGTTGGCTGATATAGCTGATTTAGTTCTGCTGTATATTTAGACAGATGAAAAAAGCACCAAAAAAGGCAAAAATATTCACTAAAGTTAAAAAATTAAACTTATCGTCACAAAATGAACAAAAGTCCACCCAAGGTGCCTACATATAAAATATCGAAGCAATCAGACAGGTTATTAAGAAGAAGTAAAAAATATCGTTTTTTACCCACAATGACAAAAATACTTTTTCAAAAAGAAGTTGACAAGCCATGCATGACACAGTCCCTATTAGTTACCAAATTTAAGATATATAGTTTTGTTTATAGTAATAAAGTTTGAAAATGAACATGTCAGAGATATGGATCCAGAAGCCGATGCTTGATTATGATGATTTTTTAATATTAAAATGATTGACATTCAGTCATCTTGTATCTGATCGTCAAATTAGTACTTGCCCATATTGAGAGAAATTGCTCTGGAACAGCATTAATTAAAACAAAATGGCCACTCGTCAGCCATTTTGAATCTGATGTGAAAAACGAAATGTCGTGCATCAAGTTCCCATCAAGTATAATGCATGTACCAAGTTCAAAACAAAATCCATCTGTAAACAGCCAAGATCCGGTTCCAGAATGCCAGAAATGCTTGATTTAGATCATTTTTCAACACAAAAATGACAGTCATTCGGCCATCTTGAATCAGATTGTGAAACAAATTGATGTGCATATCATGTATAATAGTATGTATGATGTATGTGTGAAGTTTGAATGTAATCCGTCCTAGTATGTCTAAGATATAGGTCCGAATGCACGAACAGACACATACATGCAGAGAGGACAATCCATAATTCCTGGGACTAAAAATGTAAAAAGTTGACAAGGACAGTGAGAACGTGCATTAAATATTCCAAGTATAAAAACGTAAGTAATACGTAACTGCAAATAAATCAAATAGGGTATACAATGTAGTATATTTTAGATTTAATTGAATGTAAAGAAATTTCATAAAATAACAGATAAGGTGAGTAGACTCTCAAATTAACTTAATTAATTTAACAAATCCTAAAATGCCGATATGAAACGTGGGATAACCGGTTATGCACAATCTTAACAGCTTTTTTACAGCAACATTTGTCTTGCTCCCAACTCTACAGCCAGCTGTTACAACTCCCTCTCTCCCACACACAATTTCTTTAGAAACACTTCATTAAATCATCTATAAAACCTATGTGAACATGTGACATTAAGCACATTTTACTACCATTTAGATATGTACCCACACGAGTAGGCATTGACCAGGAAAAAAAAAACATAGAGCACTGGCTAATTTACATAACAATACAATATGGTAATCATCTCAATATTGTAATCATTGATAAGCTAGATGGGCTTTATTGTTTATTCAAAGTCGGAGAGTTAGGGACCCTTACTCTATAACATCCTTGGGATAGCTCTGTAATTTTTTTTGCAGATTCTTAACCAAGGATGTATTTGAGTGTTAGTTTGAAAGTTTTCCATTACACATTTTTTGGAACCATAAAAATGACGATGGGAAAGTGAAGCACAAATAATATTGACATTGACAGGATAGTCTAAATCATGGGTTAGAGACAACTCAAAAACAGCGATGTCAGTCTCAGATACTTGAACAAAAGTGAGGTGTTATTTGAGTCCATTTGGTCATTTCTGTTTTCTGACTGGGTACAAATATCTTTATTTTCTTTCATCCCTCATGACTTTAAAGCTTTTTAGTAATTGATAAGCATAAAAGCTACATGTAACCACCTTTGAAAGCCAATTGTTGATTGGCTCATACATGTATTTGCTTACAGGAAGGGTAACCACCTTTGAAAGCCAATTGTTGATTGGCTCATGCATGTATTTGCTTGCAGGGAGGGTAACCACCTTTGAAAGCCAATTGTTGATTGGCTCATACATGTATTTGCTTGCAGGAAGGGTAACCACCTTTGAAAGCCAATTGTTGATTGGCTCATACATGTATTTGCTTGCAGGAAATAACCACCTTTGAAAGCCAATTGTTGATTGGCTCATACATGTATTTGCTTGCAGGAAATAACCACCTTTGGAAGCCAATTGTTGATTGGCTCATACATGTATTTGCTAGCAGGAAAAGGTAACCACCTGTGAAAGCCAATTGTTGATTGGCTCATACATGTATTTGCTTGCAGGAAAAGGTAACCACCTGTGAAAGCCAATTGTTGATTGGCTCATACATGTATTTGCTTGCAGGAAAAGGTAACCACCTTTGACAGCCAATTGTTGATTGGCTCATACATGTATTTGCTTACAGGAAAAGGTAACCACCTTTGAAAGCCAATTGTTGATTGGCTCATACATGTATTTGCTTGCAGGAAAAGGTAACCACCTTTGAAAGCCAATTGCTGATTGGCTCATACAATGTACATGTATTTGCTTGCAGGAAAAGCTAACCACCTATGAAAGCCAATTGTTGATTGGCTCATACACGTATTTGCTTGCAGGAAAAGCTAACCACCTGTGAAAGCCAATTGTTGATTGGCCCATACTCCATCATTGGCACTTTACATGTATGTGTGTAAAGAACCCCCATACTTGATTCGCTACACTTAATTTGTCAATGTCAGCCAATCATCAAACCCGATTTACATAAATTCTCTACCGTCCTCTCGTCCCACGACTCATTATTAATCTAACATCATTTTTTTTTTCAAAAAAGTTTGAAGCCTAGAGGATTTGAAAGAAACGGCTTGTAATTTCCAGGAAAAATTGCGCTTAGAAATAAATCCATGGAGAAAAAAAAGGTTTCTCCATCCTCATCTAAAATTTATGGTAGTTCGCTTTTACTGCAAATAATAAAACTTGTTACATATTCTATCATCTCAGGATCCCTTTACAATCAGTTACAAAAAAAAGCAGCCTAGCAGCAGTACAGTATCATAGACAAATAAGCATGAATGCTCGTCTTCATCATCAAGTATCCATGGCAACTATATCCTCCATCCCTAGAAACCTTATACATTTACTTAATACTTCTTCAAGACAGCAACGTGAGTGGCAAAATTCAATCCCTGCATATCCAATTATTGTGGAATTAGTTTTTGGTTATAAGAATTACCTGATATGCAAATTAATTCAACAAATTAGTCCTGTACAGAGACATGCAACAAATTTGAGTTTTGAAAATTAACAATATCCTAATTTTTATTTATGGTTTATAAATTTAACAATTTATATATACAATAGAAAACCAAATATTTTCAGATTTTGTTTTGTAGGATTAATTCTTTTTTAAAAAAACTGATGTGTTATTTAATTCTGGACTGAATTCCTATTACATCAATAGTGTTGGCTTCAATAAGGAGCACTTTACAGCTAGACTCGAGCAATCAATATCATTTTACGTCACATTTTCCTGCAAATGATCACGTTCACAGAGTAGCGTATCTGCTCTATTAAAAGCTCACATGAATGACAGAGGGGTGTCTATGATCAAAATTGGTCACATTTTAATAACCAAGTATACAAGTTTACATCCGCTTCCATTGAAGATGCGCTTCTAAAAGAGCAAATATGGTAGCCGAGAAGACAGATATGCTATGTGGTTCTGCGTTATAATTGTAGATTGTAGATTCCAAATGCTTCAAATGTATCGTTAAACAAGACACATCGGTCCATTGCACCTACTGGTACATGTATATACTAGCACAATACTGTAGAATACTTTATTTTAGCTGGAATTAATTTTCGCTGAAAAGGCTTTTTGTGTTTTTTGTTCGGAATTTATTTTCACTGATTTTTGAGGAGTTGAATGTGTTATATAAGAAAAAAAAAGTATATTCGCTGGATTTTATTTTCACTGAAGCATCCCTTCAGCGAAAATAGCGAAAATAAAGTATTTTACGATATTCTTTTCACACTATAATTATTAATGATTACAAGAAAATTTTTTAAAGCGTAGGTTTGTTGCCGAGTCAAATTTCTAACAGGAAAAAGGAACACAATAGGCTGATTTGTTCTTTAAACAACAAGAACAATAGTATCCCATGATTCTTCCGTGCAATTCCAAGGATTGGGTTGCCTTCATTTAAACTGTTCACCAGTTATGTTTTTAAAAAGATAAGAAATATGTGAGTCTTATTTCAATGTCAATCATCAAGAAAAACATGTAGTTCACTTAAAATTTAAATATAATTTAAACTAGATATAAATATAACTTACCTTCACCACAAACTTCACCTTTATCACATAGTGAATCAGAAAACCGACAACCTATAAAATGTACAGAACAATGGTTACAAATGACTGCACTGTAAAAACATATTTTGTGTGAGCCTTTTCTACAAAATTCATGACTCAGATAATAAAACAGTTTGTAGTAGAGAAAATTTCTATATGATCTTTAGACACAAGAAGTTTTAGCGACTTAGTGCATATCAGTGAATGTCATTAAGAATATAACATAGCCTAACGTAACTATCACAACATTCCACACTTAGAATCTAGATTAAATAACGAATGGATAGATGGATGGATGGATGGATGAATGGATGGATACAAACTAATGATGCAATGTTCTGAAACAATACAATAATATATCAAAACATTTTCTCAAAAAATATTGGAGGAAATGTCAATCTGATTAAAATCTGATGTAGTGTACGGGCTTTAATTATTTTGGCTATAAACTTATTTTAATTTTATTTTTTATTATATTTGTTATTAATGCCCTTTTATTTTATTATTTTACTTTGATTTTGATTTTGTGATTTTTTTTAATTCCGCCCTACCTACATCTGATCCGACGCCTATGTAAGTCCC